GCAATGGCACTGGGTAGCACTCATTTGCATACTTTGTAACTCTTATTATTATTACTACTATTTTAATATTAGTATTATTTTAAGTTTTCTTTTATTTCTATTATTAAATTGTTCTTATCTCACCCTACGAGTCCCTGACCCTTTGTCCCCCAATCCTCTCCCCTGTTCCCTGGGGGTTGGGGGGAAGTGGGTGAATGGCTGGGTTGGTTGCTAGCCAAGGGCTAGCCCAGTGAATCTATCACACCACACCATTCTTAATACAGGCCAGGATGCTATTGGCCTTCCTGGCCACCTGGGCACTCTGCTGGCTCATGCTCCGAAGTATTTATGGATAATAATATCAGAGGGAAAGGAAAGCTGTTTAGGGGAGCTGAAGCGTGACATCAGCATTTAGTTATCTGCAGTAGGTAGTCAAAGCACTCATTACAACATCAAATAGCAAAATCATTGTAGAAGAAGGAGCAAAGGAAAGCAAATGAGTATTTTGCTGACGGTTTAAAGCCACTTACTCATCCACAGTTGTTAAAATATCTTTTAACAGAAGAGGGTTACTGTGCCAATCCCAGCCACAGCACCAAATTTCCAGGATTAATCCCCGTTCATCTTGAGCACAGCCATGCCCACTACTGAAGAACTCCTTGGACTTTGTGGTTAATTGTTTCTCTCACTCATAACCACCCTTACAACAAAACCTGATGGACATTTTGAGTGTGAATGTTGATGTCTAGCTCCGACATCTTGCTTTAGATTTATCTAACAGATTGAAAAGCTCTCAAGTGTCATTTTTTCAGATGGGCTTTTTACACATATGATCAAGTCATCAACTTTCCTACAGCAAATTAAACAGACCGAGCTCTTTATCTATCTCATTAAAAGATGTTTTGCTTGCTTTAATAGCTCTGCTACGAAGTCTCTTCATTTTTGCAACTCTTCCAGACTAGCAAACACCAGACCTGGACACGTCCAGACCTATCAGAGTTACCAGGGGAAAGCTTTCCACACCCATTAAAGTGGTCCTGTCTGTATTGGGTTTTTTTTTCCCTTTTCAATATATTTTATTAACTGCAACTGTTAATCACTGAAGATGCTATATTTATCTCCTACTCACTGTGGGGGAAAAAGAAAGTTACTAGAGGGGGACTAATAATCAACTCCTATGAGTTCCCACTGGAAACACTCTAATAAGAGAATTTTCCTTATACACTTTAGGTGTTATTTGCCTAATTCGTCCAGTATGTGCCATTAACGCTTTTGCACAATTCTAGTTTCTGAAATTAAATAGCATGCGTGATTAAATCTAATATATGGCAGAAGCCTATTATATCAACAGTACTGCTTTTATCAAATGAAAAGAGAGAGATGAAATACAGCCTAATAATTATACAAATGATCATACTTCTCTTCAGACAAGCGGGACTGAAAAATATTCCATCAGACTTTCTGAATTTACCAGAAAGAAAGTTTTATACTAAAGTTCGTATGATTAAACAATATTATTTACTTCAGTTTAGTATTAAAAGATTACAGATTTGGGGCTAAAAAAACCCCAAACCAAATAAAAAAACCCCCATAACTTTTGGACTAGGTGAATTTAGGTTCTTTTTCTTAAAAAAATATAACAAATACCTACCTGGCAAAGTGATGCACTCCTGATTCCTAGGTTCCCACTGACAGTTTTGATCCATGGCACAGCTTTTACAACTTGTCTTTTTGTTACAATAATAGGCAGGGTTATCCTTAGGACAATTGTCATATAGAGTAATAGGAACCTAAAATAAATAGCAGAGATGAGGTTTTTTCCCATCCAGCCAATGTTGGTTTATAACAGCCATGACTACCACACTAAAGTTCACAGTCCAGACCTACAAAGCTATCTAGATATTTAAAAGCTGTGACACTGGACATAGTCTGTTCAATATTCAAGATATTCCCCCAGGCCACCACCTGACACATTTTCCTTACTAGAGCTTTTACAAAGAGTTAGTTGGTTGGTTTTTTTTCTAGGGAAGGCTCTACTGATAGCAACCCAAATGGCTCTGTGCCTTACTGAATCATCACATCATGGTGAAACCTTCACCTCATCCCCTGCCCATAGTCATCCTCCTCATTTAAGTGGAGAATCCCATGAAAAGCCCTTGGATCAACTCGGAAAAAATAAAAATATTCAAGTATATTAGTAGCTCAGAGCTACCCAAGCACTGGAAATAACAAAACAAGAGGGGACATAATATTGACAGATAAAAGCATGTGGACATTTGATAGTTCAAAAGGTTAATTTTAAACTACAGAAGTATTAGAGAGACTTTACCTGTTCCTCTGTGCAGTTGTTATGCATTGAGATACACTGGTCAGTGCACCATTGACAGTTGTTTGTATTTGCTGTACAGCTATAGCAGTCTGTAATCTGATCACATTTTTCATTGTCTACAACTATTAAAGAAAAAAACCTGCATGACCAAAAACAGGCATTTCCTGACAGAGCTCTAAGAACTTGATTATATACAGCAAAAGATATAACCAAACAGCAGTGCCTGTAGATTTTCTGTTATCGACTACTTAGTAAATCAGATACTTTCATGTGATGGAACCAATAGAAAATTGCATTCATTTGCAGCATCAATCATTTTTATTGCCCAAGGAGCTGTAAAAAAACACCACCAGAAAATGCACCAAGAGGTGGAAGCGCATGAACTAAGATTGGGCATGCATGTTTAGTCAACGCCCCTGTAAATGTTGCCAGAGGACATTGCACAAGGACAGTGAACATCTCCCACCGCAGGCTCCTTTTGCTCCAAGCTTGGCCTTCAATTACACGAAGCATTTTCATGCAAAGCTTGAACTTTCCACTTCATCTTTCCAATTGCTTATTGCCTGTGTTTTGCAAAAATTTATTGTACATCGAGAGCCCATCAAAGCAATGTCCCTTTACATCAATTTCTTTTCAATAATTAAAGGCTGCCATCTATTACAGAATCAAGGTTCATATAATTCAATTCAGAACAAGGAAATGCATCGGGATAAAGCATTGAAAAGTTGTTTTAAAATCATTGCAAGGGAGAACACAGGAATCAGACCTTAAAACAAACATTCTTTTGGTATGTCCCTATCCATGTAAGGCTGTAGAAGGGGAAATAATGTGTTTTAAGACAACACTCTTCCCGCTGTCTCTCTTGAAGAGCATAGGATAACACTGTAGGACCCAGATCATAGAATCATTAAGGTTGGAAAAGACCTCTAAGATCATCAAGTCCAACCATCAACCCAACACCACCATGCCCACTAAACCATGTCCCTAAGCTACATATTTACATGTCTTTTAAATACCTCCAGGGATGGTGACTCAACCACTTCCCTGGGCAGCCTGTTTCAATGCTTGATAAACCTTTTAGTAAATAAATGTTTCCTAATATCCAATCAAAATCTCTTTTTGCATAACTTGATCCCCCTCCCTTGCCCCACGGTGCTCATCAGCGAATTTCTGGCTGTCACAAGGTTAGTTCTTGGAGCAAACACCTACAGAGCAATGGTCCAGGCCTGATTCCTGACTGATGGTGTCTGTTCGGAATAAAAAAGTAAGTACAAGCAGTACATAGGAAAAAAATCTAATGAGCAAGCAGCTTCAGGGGGAAAGAGAGGTGGAAACATCTCCAAGCCAGTGCAGCCACTTGGTCAGAGGAAGGTCTCTCAGGGTACACATGGAAGCAGAACTACAGCCTCCCCATCTTAACCTTCATCTGATCATAGAATCATAGAATGGTTTGGGTTGGAAGGGACCTTAAAGCTCATCCAGTTCCAACCCCCCTGCCAGCAGCAGGGACACCTTCCACTAGACCAGGTTCCTCAAAGCCTCATCCAACTTGGCTTTGAAAACTTCCAGGGAGGAGCAAAAACTTCCAGGGAGGGGGCATTACCTGATAATGACATACAACTAATACAGGACAGAATTTGGAAAAGAAAAAGACCCTACACACCTTTTAGGAAGGGAAATGGAAAGAACGTGACACATACCTGGCTTGGGAGGACAGTCTTCAAAGACCTTTTGCTGCTGCTTTACCGTTGCCATTTCCCAGGGGATGCAGTGAGGAGGGATGGTAGCCCACACGCATCGGATGCCAGGACCTGCTTGCAAGCACTCTGTTTCATTGTCAAAAGCTTCACATCTCTCAGGTGTGTACTTTAGTATGTCACTCAGGAGGAGGCTGTTGAAGCCTCCAAATATATACATGGTGCTAGACAAAAACAGAAAGTAAAGAGAGAAATATTTGTGCCTGTGTTTATAGACCATGTGCTGCTGCAAATCAATGTGATTCAAGGTGTGAACAAGGTGTTCCAGCATGGATAAATCCAAATAAATAGCTCTTGGTTAAGGCATTAAAGAAAAGTTTAGTCAAGTTCCACTGTTTCAGAGAAGCCAGAGAGTCTCAACACCCAGTCAAACCATTCTCAGGTCATGAACCAACCTTCCCCTTCAGCCAAAACTCAAGGTGACACCTGATCAACACGACTACACATGAAATGCTGCAGAAATGTCAGATCCTCCTGTAAAGAATAGTGGCAAGTGAGGGAGGAAGGCTAAAAATTGGGGACATGGTATCACACCATTAAACCAGCATTCTGAAACTGTGACAAAACAATTTAGTGTTGTCACATCTCGCTACATGGTTGTGACAAAACCACAGTTATTTTTATGGCTGCTGGCAACTGAGCAAAGACTCATTGTGTCAACTGAAAAAAAAAATCAAAACAAAATAATATTCTGAGGGGAAAAAAATCCCATATATTTTTTTTTTTTTCCAACCTTCTTTAATATCACAACTGCTTCAAGGCAAAACATCAAATGCCATTAGTTATCCAAAAAAACCTGTGCATCCATGTTTGGAAATGTACATTTAATGAGACAGTGAAGAAGAGTCAATGCAAGTGAATAAAATCTTTGGTTGAATAAGTGTTTTTAATATGATTTGCATCCTAGTTTAGGACAGATCTAAAGCACTTAATTGTCCTTCATTGGAGCAAACATGTAACTGGTATTCAGTATACAAGGAAACAAATAGATAGTGAATGAGATTTTAGAGATAAAAGGAGTATGTAGAAGCACACCTTCCTTTTTCAGGCAGCAACAGTTATCTGCCTGGCTTAAACTGAGCTTTAAATAATGTTACTGACTTATAGAAAGAATCCTCAAAGGATAAAGGAACCAGAACGAAAGACTCCTCTAAGAAATACCACTTCTCAAAGTCAGTTCTGCAGACCCAAATGCAACAATAGGTGTTCACCTGAAAGCACGGATATTATTACAGTGATATAATGCTTAATAGCAGAAAAGTAACCTCTGATTTCACCTAAATAATGTACATCACATTAATAGTAAAGAAGAGCCACACAGGATAAGCTATGTAAACTGAAACATGGACAAATTTAGAAACCATCAGGGAAAGTATGATTTGGAGAGAAAAGTTGTCAGTGCAGCTAAATAAATACAAATAAAAGATAAATGAAATGACAAAATTATGAAATAAATAAGAAATTTCAATATATAGAAAAAGAAGAAAAATTAATAGAAATATTAAAAAAAAAAAAAAAATTAAGTGAGCTGAGACAGTTTAGTCCAGTGAAGAAGGGCTGAGAGGCACAGGTGGATATAGGAGAAGAGTAAAGATCTGAGAACTTAAGAGAGGTTTGCAACAGATCCTCAACCCTCTGATCTCAGTCTTACTGATCTACATAGAATCACAGAATCCCAGAAGTCCCTCGATTTGAAAAGCCCTTTAAGCTCATTGAATCCAACCATGAACCCAACACTGACAGGTCCCCAACTAATCCATGTCCCTCAGCACTATGTCTACACGACTCTTCAATCCCTCCAGGGATGGGGACTCCACCACTGCCCTGGACAACCCCTTCCAATGCCTCACAACCCTTGCAGCAAAGAAATTCTTCCTCACATCCAATCTACATGTATCAACACACACGTGCACTGATACACACAGGTGTAGAAGTTCACTGAGGTATGAAAAATGGCAACACCTCCCCAGGTTGTTTCTAGCCTTACCTGTTGTAGAGGACAGCAGAATGTCCAAACCTGTTCACATCATGATGGAGACCAGGGCGAGGAAGGACAGACCACCGATCGCAAGCTAGAATTAAGGAAAGCTCATTTCAGAAAAGTTTCATGACTCAACTTAAACAGCACTTTTCTTCTTGAAAGATCTCAAAGGACTTTAATAACTCTAGAGAGACCGTTCTGCCCACCACCAAAACACAAATCTTGAGTGAAACGGGACAGTTTACAAAAGCTTTGTGTTATTTTCTTTTCCAAGACTTAAGATTTGAGTCTTTAGCCCAGCTGCCTTGGTATGACAAAAAAGGAAAGGAAGGACCTCACAGCTCTGCTTCATCATCTAAACAGCTGATGAAAAACAAAGTATCAGGGCACTGTGTTGAAGCGGTTATTAGCCTTTTTGGCAACCACATGTAATTAAATGGCAGTGGCTTGAGTCGCTTTTCCTCCTTTACTAGTGGCATTTTTCACTGCATAACAAGTTCAGTTTTTATCTGTTTATATGTGAATTATTTGCAGTTTTGCCCCAAACCAGTATCACAAGAACAGACTTATCCTTTCTTTTTTCTTTCTTCCATTGCAATTATGTTCCTAGAGGGTAGATATCCATGTTTTTTAAAAATATTTTTCACTCATCATAGCTTAAGGATTTGTGGTTGTTTTGCTCTTTTAATATAATGTGAGATTATTCCATCTTTTTCTATTAGCATAACATTTATAAGTTCTGCTTCATTTTTTACTCAGTTTCTCAGGTAATTTCTTCCTTTAGGCAGCAGGAAAAAAAAAACCAAACCAACCTAAGAAACATATAACCCACTGAGCAATCAAAGGAACAAAAGCAGGACAAGTCAGTCCAGTTCATATCATTTAAACTCTGCAAAGTGAATGGGATCATCTTGGGGGTTAATGTCCCTGAAGCAGTTGTATGCAATTTATGCAATTAAGAATGAAAAGTCAATCTGCTGTAAAGATCTACAGAGCCCTCAAACACGTGAAGAATCTTTTATACAAGGTAAAACTGTTGTGCCATGGACTGGAAAAAAAAAAAGTCCATAAACCCAAACTTGTATGTAAATAAACTGAGAGGGAAAAGAAAAATAGTCTTATTAATTCTTAATTCTTTACCAAATTTAATTGGAGAATTATTGGGTAAGACAACTGATCCCAACCTCTGGTCTAGCAGAAACTTTTGTTCAAGAGTGATACTTGATAAATAAGTATCATTCTGATAAATAAAAGGTATAGGACCTAATTGGTTAGATTTAATACTTTGATAAATTGTAATTCAGACGTTTATTTTTAAATGTCATTTGCTTGATTCTCAAAGAATTTAACCTAAACCAGCACCAGTCCCGAGACAAACACGCAAGGTTCCAGTTTTTAACAGGAGACTTCAGCAAAATTGGACAGCAATTTGCAATTTTTTTTTTATCCAGCAAGCTGTGAGTTATGTGAGGCCAAGAAACATATTTTTCAAGATTAACAGAAGTCCTGGAATGTTTTGCTTTCTAAGCTTCTTTCTCATCTTTAACTGAATATCGAGTATTGGAAAAAATGAATGATTCTGAAAATACAAAGAATCCTCTCCTTCCTGACTTCTGATTTAAGCCAAGCCTAAAACTTACAATGCACAGGTAAATATACCATTCAAATAGAACTCATATGCTATGAATACATCCAGCTTCTTTCTATGTTTGTCATCACAACTGAACATTTGATGGGGCAAAGAGAAGAGTTTTAATTTCTCTCCTGTGAAGATCATTAAATGAGTACAGCCTTTATACAAACATTTCATGCTGATTTAAAAAAAAAAAAATCATAAAGTTAAAGTTATTTAGAGTTAAAAATAACTCTAGTTAAAGTTTATTTAAGTTAAGTTAAAGTTAAAACTTATTTAGAAATTAAAAAGAATGGTTACTTAAACCACGGTAACTGCATTTTGAGACAGTTTGCCTGTGAAGTTTCTATTCTTGTTTTAGACACATGCCATAGGCAAGAGACATGACCCTTTGGAAAGCACAGCTGTTGCCTTTTCACTCCTGGAGATGAACATCTAGTGATGGAAGGGCAGCAACTCACACATGGCTCCTTTGCTGCTATGAATTGTTGAGAGAAGGAGCTAGAGGATCCAAGTAAGGAATTTGTCCACCCAGAGACAAAACTGCTTGCAGGGCAGGAAACTCTTCTACAGAGGTCAGAGATCAATTTTGGGGCTAGGAAGTGCTAACTAGTCATTGCAGTATCATAGAATCATTAGATTGGAAAAGACCTTTGAGATCATCCAGTCCAACTATTAAACCAGATCTCTGAGCACCTCATCTACCCATCTTTTAAATATCTCCAGGGATGGTGACTCAACAACTTCCCTAGGTAGCCCATTCCAGTGCCTGATAAACCTTTCAGTGAAGAAATTTTTCCTGACATCCAATCTGAACATTCCCTGGAACAACTTGAAGCCATTTCCTCTTGTCCTGTCACTTGTTACTTAAGAGAAGAGACCGAGACCCACGTCTCTCCACCCTCCTTTCAGGAAGTTGGAGAGAGCCAGAAGGTCTCCCCTCAGCCTCCTTTTTTCCAGGCTCAACAACCCCAGTTCCCTCAGCTGCTCCTCTTAAGACTTGTTCTTCACAGAATGTGATCATAACACAGAAAAAATACTGTGAGGTTGCTCTACCCAACCCGAACGCCAACGCAATCCAAAAGCTTAGTCCTGAGAAGCAATAAGAAATGCACATGCACACAGACAGATGGATTGCTATCCTGAAACCTTCCAAAACTGGGCATTTCCTGGACAATTTGGATTGTATAAGCCCCAACCTGGTCAACTGAAGGATAAAAGGATGAGAAGCATTAATGCATTCTCAGATCTACCTAATCCGCTAAACCTCCAGAGCTCAGCATACATCTCGGTGACATCTGTTTGCATCTGACACACACACACAAAAAAAGAAGATAATAAGTCCTCACAACACTCAGTGCGTGTGGTCTGATCATTTAGCAATTTGAGAAGAGAAAAACAGAAAAAAATTACGAGGTAAATAAAACAAGTTACTGCAGAAATAAGTTTTAATTGCAAAGGTTAAAGAGAAGATCAGTTTTTGAAGCCTGCATTTGAAGACTGCATTTTCATTTCAGTTTTCTCCAGTCTTCCAACCATCACTATGATCACTGAGATGTTACCTTCATCAACAAGATGTTTACAATGAGCAAACTAGTCAGATACTCCAAAATGCCAAAACTGGGTATTTCCTGGACAATTTGGATTAAATACTTTTATAGTATGCTAAGACAGCCAATTACTAAGCCTCTCCTCCAAAGGCACTCAGTATCAATTGACCTTCCTGCTTGGTCTTCTCCTGGGTAGCTTGAACCTTGGGAGCATGAAGGGATAGATAACACATAGGCATGTTAATATTAAAGATGTGATAGGTACATCCACCTGTGGTGGTATGGCCACAGCAGTCTTTGATATTTACAATGCTCTCCCACAGTATACAGGCTTAATCCCATGGAGACCAACATCAACATGATCAATATAATAACTGCAGAGATCGTGGATGAAGAACCACCAAGTAGGTGTTTCTGCTGTGACACTAATGATCAGCCAGCACCCTAATGGATTCCAACCCCCCTGCCATCAGCAGGGACACCTTCCACTAGACCAGGTTGCTCAAAGCCTCATCCAGTCTGGCCTTGAACAATTCCAGGGAGGAGCAGCCACAGCTTCTCTGGACAACCTGGGACACTGTCTCACCACCCTCACACCAAAGAATTTCTTCCTAATATCTCATCTAAACTTACCCTCTTTTAGAGCCATTTCCCCTTGTTCTGTCAATAACTGCCCTTATAAAAAGTCCCTCCCCAGTCATGTGAAATGCAATCAATGCAAGTTCTAATTCTCAGCGTAAACCTGGTAAGGACTGGGCAAGTTGACCACAACACTTGTTTCACAGAATCACAGCATGGTTTGGGTTGGAAGGGACCCTAAAGATCATCCAGTTCCAACCCCCCTGCCACCAGCAGAGACACCTTCCACTAGATCAGGAACATTCCATGTAACAGGAACTTGTCTGTTAACTAAACTGAATCAAAATGAACATCATTATTGGTGTATTTTGTCAGATTAATGCAATTTGTGTTTTATACCTAATAGACAGTTCAATGGGTCAGGGAAGGCAGTAAAATGTAGCAAGAAAATATTATCACTGTTGCTATCAAAGTTTAAAAAAAAAAATACTGTTTTAATTCTTCAAGAAAAATCTCAAAATGAAGCTAGTCAGAAGAACACAATAAATTCCACAGGGATATGACCTGAAATCGTAAGGAAGGAAAAGAGAATGATCCTTGTAACAGACAGCAAAATGGCACAAGGATGCCAAACCCTGCTGCCAAAAGCAATCCATTCGCTTGCATATTCCTTTCACAAACCAGGAGTGACATCTCAGTGGACAGTCACTCCGAGAATTCAGGTTGACGTGATTATTTCAGGGAATCAATCACGAGAGGCCACGTTTAAGGAATTCTGAGAGCAGAAGGTAGAATGTGATACGAGTACAGAATGGTGTTTTTCTTCAGTGTGAATTATCTGGATGTGCACGCACCTTCTTTTATATAATTTCATCTCTTTTTCTTTTCTTCTTCTTAAATCCATCGTCTCTGGATTCTAAATTCACAAATAAATGCTGCCCTCTTCTGGCTACTCAAACCTCAATCCTTCCAGCTAAAATCTGATCATTTAGCTTGATTGTTAAATAGTGCTTAGGGGGATATTTATGCTTATAAAGCGTACATATAAACAAAGTGACATTACAAAGAGCACAGCCAAACAAGTCAACCAGCCTGCAGTTAAAACAAGAGTGCCCAACGTCCAAATTGAGCTTCAGCCACAGACAGTGCTTGTAACTATCCTAACCAGTTGTATTTTTAATAAATCAGATTAAAACACACACAAAATAGCAGGATATTTATGGCTGAGATGGAAGAACAATGTGCTTTCTGTTTAAGAAATCATTTTTAACATCAAAGGATGTGTATAAACTGTTGACCGAGTAACTGCTGCTGTATTTGCCTAGAAATCACTGCACCAGCTCATTTGCTTGGTAATGTGTAGCAAACTAAATGAGCTTCTCCTGATTACACATTCTTCTGCAGTATGTTTAGGAGCATTTGGTGTAATATACCCAGCATGTAAATTAGTCATTCTGAAGACAGCTCTTTTTGAATATCCCAGAATTATTATTTTTTTTTTAACTTCTTCAAGAACTTACCAATATCATATGCCATAAAATCAGAAGAAAAGCACTTTGCACCGTGGCTCATGGAGGTGTCGTTGTGCGTGTTTCCTCCAAACACCAGCATGGTTCCACTCACGATCACAGCCGTGTGCAAATAGCGAAAAAATCTACTGTCTTTAAGAATAGTCCTTCAGAAAGAAAAATATATGTTATTAATGAAACTGGTTAATACCTGGGAAAGACAAAACAATCCATAAATCCAAGTTCAAGGAGGTTTTGGGGTACGGGAAGGAGTGAGGGGATAGTATTTAACTACTTTTCCTAATGAGGTATTTAACAACTTCCTTTCCACACTGTTCAATTCCTCCTGTAATTTCATTGTCTCATCTTCCCATGTACTTTCCAATTTATAGGAGAAATATATCTACCAAAGTCTCTTTCCAAAGCTATGGATCTTAAAATCATCAGTTCTTCCTTAGGGATTATTAAGTTTTCACATTAACTGCACTTTTGAGCATGGTCAGCTAGATCCCAGAATTGCTGAGATTGGAAAA